CTCGGCTCACCGCAACCTCCGCTTCCTGGGTTCAGGCAATTCTCCTGCCTCAGCCTCCTGAGTAGCCGGGATTACAGGCACGCGCCACCATGCCCAGCTAATTTTTTGTATTTTTAGTAGAGACGGGGTTTCACCGTGTTGACCAGGATGGTCTCGATCAAAGGAGCCCTAATTAGTTGACCTTCAGTGAGGTTGCACTGATGACTTCTAGTTGCCCTTCTGTATACCATATCTTAACTCAGTTACAGAACTGAACATTTCTTATTACACCAGACTATAATGGTTTGAATCGTGTGTGTGTGTGTGTGTGTGTGTGTGTGTGTGTGTGTGTGTGTGTGTTCAGTATGATGATGGTCTTTTTTGGCCTTCATCTTATCTTTTGGATGAACAATGTTTTTGGTCCTTCTGGTCACAGCATCTAAGCTCATGCCTCATCACCTTATTAGTGTAGTTCAAAGTAAGCAGTACCCCTGTTAACCCTGAAACACCTTAAAATTAATGATATTCCTTGGGAGCTGGGCAGTATGTTTCATGCTGTCTATAGATTCAGATAAATTAAGTTAGGTGGGAAAGGTCTTAAATAGGTTTCTGGATTTTCCAGGATTATTTGAAATTTTAGGGGCAGATCCTTTTCTCCTGTGATTTCTACAAAATCAGTTAAAAACATTAATTGACCATTTGTTACACAGAGAGCACTGAACAGTTCTTGTTAAACTTTATTTCAGAAAGCTGAAATATCCTTTAAGAGTTTAAAACCTAACAGGAAAAAATAGTTTTTGTTGTTGTTTTTTGTTTTTTGAGACAGAGTTTCTCTCTTGTTGCCTAGGCTGGGGTGCAATGGTGTGATCTCACCTCACCGCAACCCCTGTCTCCTGGGTTCAAGCAATTCTCCTGTCTCAGCCTCCCGAGTAGCTGGTGTTGCAGGCATGTACCACCACACCCGGCTAATTTTGTGTTTTTAGTAGAGACAGGGTTTTCCGATGTTGGTCAGGCTGGTCTCAAACTCCTGACCTCAGGTGATCCGCCCTCCTCAGCCTTCCAAAGTGCTGGGACTACAGGTGTGAGCCACCATGCCCAGCCACACTATGCAGTTTTATAAGCCTTTTGGGAGTTGCTCTTGCCCCTTCTAATACAAGGCAATGCAAATAATAGGGAAGAGACTTAGAGCTGGTTTTCTAAAGTGTGTTTTTGTGGGATACTAATTCTGTAGATTATTAATAGATTTTATATGGAATAAAAGGGGTTGTATTGTTAAATAAGTTTGGGAAATACAGGATTAAATAGTATTTAATATGTTTCTTTTGTGGAGGGCATTTGAGAATTTTTCTTAAGACGGTGTGCTTTGTGAATTCCCAAAAGAGGAATGGATCTACATAGGTTTAGAAAGTCCAGAAACATAGGATAGAACTTATATTTAAGTATACACTATTGCTCTTGTGTTTATAGACTTTTGGGCATTTTATACTTCTCTTTGCTTTTTTCAGATTAATGATTGGACCCATTGCTTTAATTTTAAAGGTATTTCTTCTGGAAGATATCTGGAGGTTGAATAAAAACATTGAGCATATAATTGGAAATGTAGCTAACATACTGTTTAAAAATACATTCATCCTATATTTCTTTCTCAGTCTTACTGTATACTGTATAAGTTTTCTCAATTTTTTTCACTGAAGAGTATTTTTCATATGGATGATTTTCAGGAACTAAAGGTCCGTGTAACCTACTTTGGAAAACATAGGTATGGGTTTAAAATATTCTTCAATTGGACTATATCATGAAGTCGTCAGTTTTCATAATAGAGAAGAGATATTGCATAAATTTGCTGTGTCATATTCACTGTTAGATTTTGAGTTGATATCATTATCCCAGTTCTACCAATTACTATCTCTGTGACTAAACTTCAGTTTTTGCATCTATAATGGAGATAGTAGAATAGAACTTAATGAATTTTAAAATATAGTACTGTAAATTGAATTTTTGTTCTTTAAAAGGGTTTTTAAATTTTTTTTAATATCATTTTAAATTTAAGGCCAGTCATGGTGGCATACCTTTTTGGAGACCAGAGTGGGAGGACTACTTGAGGCCAGGGGTTTGAGACCAGCCTGGGCAATATAGTTAGACTTCGTCTCTACAAAAAAAAATTAAAAATTAGCCAGGCATGGTGGCAGGTATGTGTAGTTCTAGCCACTCAGGAGGCTGAGGTAGTTGGATTGCTTGAGCCCAGGAGTTCAGTTATAGTGAGCCTCGATTGTGCCACTGTATGCCAGCCTGGGCCACAGAACAAGACCCTGTCTCTGGAAAAATAAATAAATTTAAAAGTGGGAGGGAAACTGGCTAAGTTAATTGCTAAGGAAAATGATATCTGAGAGATTACTAGAATGAATCATTTAGTTTTAAGGACTGATCACATTGTTTATTGATTTTGTTAAGCAAAGTATTTTGTAGTAAAGATAATTGTACAAATTATCACAATTTAAGTTTTCTATTTGTCAATGATAATTTCTAAAATTACATATTTATTTAAGAAGAATGTTTTAAATCATAAGAGTAATACCCGTTCACAGTTGAAAATTAAAAACCATTCAGGAGGGTGTAAAAAGCAAAAGCCCCGCTTCCCACATTCTCTAATCTCAATCCACTAGATGTGTAAAAACCTTCCACTATCTCATCTGCCATACTTATTCCCCAGCTGTAAAACTACTCTTAACAATTTGTAGGAAATACTTTGTGTCAAAGCCTAACTTCTTCTTGTTTTGTTTTTATTTTTTGTGGTGGAGCTGTGAGTTCTCTGGAATTGTAAACATTCTTTTGAAATATGGAGCCCAAGTAAATGAACTTCATTTGGCATACTGTCTGAAGTACGAGAAGTTTTCAGCATTTCGCCACTTTTTGAAGAAAGGTTGCCCATTGGCACCATGGAACCATATAAGTGAATTTGTAAATCATGCAATTAAAGCACAAACGAAATATAAGGAGTGGTTGCCACATCTTCTGCTTGCTGGATTTGACCCACTGATTCTACTGTGCAATTCTTGGTAAGAAATCCTACCATAGTAGGGCTTACCCTTTTTGAGTGAATATACTACCTTGAATTTCCTTTAGTTTCTTGAGATCTCCATGTTTGGAAAAGGTGGTGTGTATTTTGACTGTGTTGGCTGAATTGGGATAAAGGAATTGGTGGCTGCTAATAGTGAGATTGAGTTTAAGCAGAGCCCTGGGAAAAGGTAAGAGGTGACTGGAAGGAAGTATAAGGGGATAAATGCCAGTGAACTCTCCCAAGAGGGTTATTTTTTCAACTTCTGGCCATTCCTCATGCTTCTCTTAAAATGCCTGTGACAGAAGAAAGAATGCTTGCAGCTGCTTTGGAGATTTCTGTTATCTATCTCTCAGCCAAGCAGACTGAATACTCCTTCCCTACAGCATCCTGTCTATTTGAAATTTGTCACCCTTAATACTGATTTCTGAAGTATCTGAGAATATAGCTTGTTTACTTCAGGTAGTTTCCAGAAGGGCAGCCCTTGGTGATAGATTATGCAAATACTGAGTCAGAATTTTGGGGAGGGGACAAGAAGAAGACTGTTTCTGTTAGCCTTCAGCCTTGGCAAAAATTGTTAGTGTCCTAAGACAGGTAGTTGTAGTAGTGGGAGGACTCTTTTGACCTGATAATTCAAGTCAAATGAGAAAATAAAATGGAAATCTTCAGGAAAATAGAAGACATGTTATTTTATAGAATTTCAATAAAATATCTAGAAATCTTCACTTTTCTGTTTCAATTCTTAACCCATGTGGTAATGAGTGTCTTTGAGGTGCTCATTTTCTTCTTAGCCACACTCATTTTGTTCCTATATCACAGCTGTTAACTCTGATTCAATATGACTTGCCCAGTGCTTTTAGCCTTCGTGCTCCTTCCTGGTTTCTAATTTATTTATTTCTTTAACCAAAACATAGAAACTGTCTGATACCTACTGCTGTGGTTTGAATGTGTCTTCTAATTTCAGGTGTTGGAAACAATCCTAAATTCATTTTTTTTGGAGGGGGGGGATGCAGTTTCGCTCTTGTTACCCAGGCTGGAGTGTAATGACGCGATCTCGGCTCACCGCAACCTCTGCCTCCTGGGTTCAGGCAATTCTCCTGCCTCAGCCTCCTGAGTAGCTGGGGTTACAGGCATGCGCCACCATGCCCAGCTAATTTTTTGTATTTTTAGTAGAGACGGGGTTTCACCGTGTTGACCAGGACGGTCTTGGTCTCTTGACCTCGTGATCCACCCGCCTCGGCCTCCCAAAGTGCTGGGATTACAGGCTTGAGCCACCGCGCCCGGCTCCTAAATTCATTTTTTGATGATATTTGGAGGTGGGATCTTTGGGAGTAATTAGGATTAGATAAGTTCATCAAGGCGGTGCCCCAGTGATGGGACTGGTGGCTTTATAAGAAGAGAGACCTGAGCTGGCTTTTGCTGTCTCACCAAGTGATGACTTCTGCCATGTTATGTATGACACAGCAAGAAGGCCCTCATCACCTGAACCCCTTGACCTTTGACTTCCCAGTGTCCAGAACGGCAAGAAATTTGTTTTCTTTGTAAATTACCCAGTCTCAGGTATTGAGTTATAGCAACCGAGAATGGACCACGACAGAGATTTGGTACTGAGAAGTGGGGCTGTTACTAATAATGATTACTAAGAATGTGGAAGTGGCTTTCGAACTAGGTGATGGGTAGAGCCTGGTGAAGTTTGAAAGAACAGTCTAGAAAAAGCCTGTATTTCCATAAATGGAGTGTTAAGGGTGATTCTGGTGAGTGCTTATAAGACGAGAATACTAGGAAAGTCTGAACCTTCTTAGAGATTACTTAAGTGGTTGTGACCAAAATGTTGATAGAAATATGGATAGCAAAGGCCATTTTGACAAGGTCTCAGATGAAAATGGGCAATATCCTGTTGGAAACTGGAGCAAAGGCCATCCTTGTTATGAATTAGCAAAGAACTCGGATGAACTGTGTCTATGCCTAAGGGCTTATGGAAGGCTGAATTTAAGAGTGATGAACTAAGATATCTGGTGGGAGAAATAACTATCAAAGCATTCAGGCTGCTGCATGTCTGCTTTTGCCCACTTAGAGTGAGATGTCAGGGCAAAGGAATGACTTAAGACAGAATCTATAATTAGAAGGGAAGAAGAGCAGAAAAATCTGTAAAAGTGTCAGCCTGGCTGTGTGGAAAAGAATGAAAGAGAATTTTCAGGAGAGTTACCCAAGGTTGTGACTAGCAGCCCTTTGCTGAGCAGATTTATACAAATAGAAGATATCATCAAGACAATTGGAAGTCAACCTTGAAGGCATTCCAGAGATCTTTCAGGCTGTGCCTCCTATCACCGGCCCAGGGAACTAGGAGGCCAGAATGGTTTTCAGGAGGGTTTGGGTAGTAGTACGAATTCTGCAGAGGTATATAGAATGCAAGAGCTGTGGGGGCATGGATTCCTCCACCTAGATTCCAGAGGTTGTTGAAAACAGTCTGGGGGCTCAGACAGAGACTTGTCCCAGGGGAGGAGCCACTGCAGAGAGCCTTTCTAGATCATTGCCCAAGGGAAATGTAGGGTTAGAGCTTCCACAGTTTCTACCTCAGCAATGCATAGAGGAGCCATGGGAGCAGAACTGCCATTGAGACCTCAGGACTATAGAGCTACCAGCATGCAGTGCCACTTGGCAGAGCTGAAGTATGGACAGAGCCATAGGGGTGGGACTGAACCCAGCAAAGCTGTAGTTGTGGAGCTTCCTCAGGTAGTGGAGGCTCAGCCCCCATCCCAGTCTATCTAGGAAGCTTGATGGGAGTCAGGGAATATTATCTTGGAGCCTCAAGCTGTAATGTTTTTCCTCTTGAATGTTGGACTTACTTGGGGCCTATTATTCTTTGCTTCTTGGATTTGTCTCCCTTTTAGAATGGGAATGTTTGTCTTATGCCTGTCCCACCATTGAATTTTGGAAGTAGATGACTTGTTTGATTTCACAGGCATATAGCTGGCAGGAATTTAAGGTGAATCATGCCTTGAGTCTCATACCCCTCAGATACCAAAATCTATGTGTTACTGGAAGGGGGTCCCAATCTACACCCCAAGAGAGGATTCTTAGATCTCACACAAGAAAGAATTCAGGGCAAGTCCCTAAAGTGAAAGCAAGTTTGTTTAAAAACTAAGAGAACAAAAGAATGGCTATTTCATAGGCAGAGCAGCAGCATGGGCTGCTGAGCTGCTTATATTTAGTTACTTCTTAGTTACATGCTAAACTAGGGGTGAATTATTCATGAGTTTTCCAGAAAAGGGATGGGCAAGTCCCAGAACTGAGGGTTCCTCCCCTTTTTAGAATATATAGGGTAACTTCCTGAAATTGCCATGGCATTGGTAAACTGTAATGGGGCTGGTGGGAGTGTCTTCTAGCATGCCAATGCATTGTAATTAGCATATAATGAACAATGAGGATGACCAGAGGTCACTTTCATCACCATCTTCATTTTGGTGGGATTTGGCTAGCTTCTTTACCGAGTGCTGTTTCATCAGCAAGGTCTTTGTGACCCGTATCTTGTGCAGATCTCCTATCTCATCCTGTGACTGAGAATGCTTTAATTTCCTGGTGAGGCAGCCCAGTAAGTCTCAGCCTTATTTTACCTAGACCATATTCAAGATGGAGTTGCTCTGGTTCAAACACCTCTGACACATGAATGCTCACATCCCTTACGTAAAATGGTGTAGTATTTGTGTATAGCCTATGCACTTCCTCGCATATACTTTGTCATCTCTAGATTATTTATAATACCTAATGCCATATAAGTGCTATGTAAATAGTTGTAATGTAGTTTTAAATTTGTGTTATTTTTTATTGTATTGTTACTTTTAATTATTGTTAGTATTCTTGATCTACTATTGGTTGAATCTGCACATGTGGAGGGCTATCTATAGCTTTGTTACTCAGTTTTAGTAATCCTTAATCCCTTGCCTAACCTGAGGGATTTGTGCCAACTTTTCTTACTTCTTTCTGCTCCTAAATTAGGAAAAACCAAAGCCAGGGGAAAAAAAATTAAACATTGCCTCTTGTCCTTTCCTCCCCAGCCAACTAAATGGACTACTTATAGGGAGAGGGATTTATTTAGCTTTATTCTCTTAGATGGCTTTGTAAAATTATCCCCCTTTCCCTAATTCTGATACAGCTCCCCCATTTTCCCCCACTTGTGAATAGTTGAGAATTTTTGTGACGATAAGCCACTGGGTGTGTGCTCTATTTCCTGGATATGTGAAATAGAAAAGAGTTAAGAACTAGTAAACTAGAAACTATTTTGAAGGAAGTTGTAAAACTTTGAGTATTCTGAATGGGGAATACCAACTGCATGTTTTTCACTCTTGAGGAGTAAGTAACTTTAGTTACTTTATATTCATTAGAAAAAATCCAATGGAAAATTTCACTTTAGCAATGAAAATGCTTAACATGGTCAAATTTTTGTTCACTGATCTTTTATTGAATGGGTAAAGCCAGTGTTTACACTGCATATGATAAATGTTTTGTTTCTTTGATCAAATTTACATTCAAAGGGCTATTATAAGAAACATTTTCCTATAAAAATTTTAATATGTTGTTAAAGTAGATTTTGATTGTTATTTATATCACAGGTAGGTCTATTGCTTAATCTTTGTTCTGTAAATTATAAACATATTTTCTGGGTATTGTTTGTCTTAAACAGTCTTAAAAATGTATCTGGCTGAATAATTGCCAGTCACAATATTTAAATGCAAGACTAAGTCTTCTCCTGCCTGTGCACCCCCCATGTAATGGGAGAATAGAACGTAAATGTCATTTGTGCATTCAGTTGATTAAATGTCACTCGTTTATGATTGTGCAACTGCTCTATACAATGTAATGGTCACTGTAGTAAAGTAACTATACATTTTTAATGACATTATCAGTGCTGGTGAAATAAACTCACCGTTATATTAACTAAAACTGTGCAAACAGATTTGCTTGTCATGTGTATGTTCAGATAACTGCATAAAAATGACTTTGTGTTTGGTCACAGTAAGACCTAAAGCGCATTAGGCAGAAAAATGAAATCATTAAAAAAGAATAAAGAACCAGAACCAAGTAACCTTTGGTTTGGGACCCCTAGAAAGTCAAGGAAATTGTTTGTCTTTGAATATATTTTATCATTTCATTTATCCTCAGTATTTCCTGATAAGTTGTGATTTCACTGAGACCTGTTGAGAAACCATGTTTTTCCAAAACATCTGTGCAACACTTTAAGTTCTTCCTTATATGTTTGCATATTGGAGAATTAATTTGGGAAATAATTTTCATAATCTTTAGTTCGTCATTTCAAAGATATTTTGACTTTGAATTACCAGAAGTGTCTTTGAGATGATAAGCTTAGATTATTATTCAGCTTATTTTCTTTCCTTGTATTTCCTTTCTTTCTTTAGTTGTTGCTCAGTAATATCTCTAAAAAGGTGACTTTGAGAAGGAACCCTAGTGATTTTTTTTTTTCTCCAACCATTGTGATGGTAGGGGGGTATCTAATTGAGCACAGGATGAGTAATCTTGTTAGGATTTTGGTTCTTTTTAAAGTTTGACTAAATTTTAAAGCTTCTAAAAATATACTGAAGTTTCAAATCATTTCTAGTAATACTAATTTTTCATATAACTTTATAGTTTTAAAAGTAGGTTTACTATGTATTCTCATATTATTTTCACAAATAGTTCTCTGAAATGAGCAGATTATATATTCTCATTTTAAAGAGCAGGAGCTAGAGCTTAAATAATTCAGGCAACCTGTTTATAAGTAGCAGAGGCAATATTAAACATCAAGACTTTTCTTAAGCCTGTGCTCTTTCCTTTAGGTTTCAAGTGCTTATAAATTCTGGGTTAGTCTCTGAGTGGATTGGTAGGGAATCTGGCATTATTTTGAAAGAACAGAGGAAGGCCTGTTTGGAACCCCTTCTTTCAGTTCTTAAAGACAAATCTTATTCTGTTATATCGTTTAGGGCTGAATTTATAATTGGTGGAAGGTTCTTGGAGGAGAACAGCTATGCATCTGTGGGAGTTGGGCAGAAAGAAGCCATTCCTATACACTTGTACACTCAGTGTAGGGATAACTTGGGGTGTTTGGGCTTTATCCTTTTAGGATTATTAAATTATATGTCTGTAAGGTTGACCAATTTACATTTGGCAAGGTAGTCCAAATGGGAGGAAATAATAGCAGGTCCACTGATGTCACTGATGCTGTCACCAATGAGAAGGAAAGTTCCTAATCTCTCTGGGGTTCCTCTTGTCATCTTAGACAGCTACACACAAAGTCAATTCTGTTAATAGGAACCTGTAGATGATTCTTCACATCCACTGATCTTGCCTCCAGTTACATAAATACTTTCCATGCCCTGGTTTTCTGTCTGCCTTCCCCATTGAGATTTTGTAAGAATGGTGTTTGTTTCCAGTATGAACCATTGGCATGTTTTGTTTCTAATGTCATTTTAACATCTTGCTAACATAGGATTGACTCGGTCAGCATTGACACCCTTATCTTCACTTTGGAGTTTACTAATTGGAAGAGACTTCCGCCAACTGTTGAAAAGATGCTTTCTTCTCGTGCCTCAAAATCCTCTTGGATTCTACGTCAATATATTGGTAAGAAAGACTAACTTTTAAACACACTTCACTACTTTTCCTTCTCTTGCTTCTCTAGCTGTATTGTAATTTTATGTGAAAAGATTCATTGGCAAACAGAAATTAGCATAATTTGTATTTTCTTATGTAAGGAAAAGATGGGGTTATTAGGGAGATGGCTAGTAATTCCCTTCAGTAAAAATCATATCTGATTTTATAGGCTTAGCCTAAGGAGTGTATAAAGAAAAGCAGATGTTTACTGATATTTTAATTTTACCATATCCTTTTATATTTAATAAAGATTATATAAGCTAAACTAGATCCTAAAAATCTGCTTGTTCAGTAGTTATTTTGTGGTCAGAAAATGCTAAGATTAATTTTTCCCTTTGGAGTATATGTGGCGTTATATTCTCTGTGTAATACTTTATCATCTCTAAAAGGAAATGTTACCATTCTTTTTTTTTTTATTGAGACAGCGTCTTCCTCTGTTGCCAGGCACCAGGCTGGAGTGCAGTGGTGTGAGCTCAGCTCACTGCAGCCTCTGCCTCCCGGATTCAAGCAATTCTCCTGCCTCAGCCTCCCGAGTAGCTGGGACTACAGGCCTGCGCCACCATGCCCATCTAATTTTTGTATTTTTTTAGTAGAGACGGGGTTTCACCATGTTGGCCAGGATGGTCTCGATCACTTGACCTCGTGATCTGCCCACTTCGGCCTCCCAAGAAATGTTACTATTCTTTACACCTGTCTTTACTGAATGTACACCAGTCTGTTGGTATGGTATAACTATGGAGATGAGCTGAGTGAACATTCTGTGAATTGGGTGATATTTTAAAGGACTGTTCTAGAACAACATTTCAACTTACCTTACTTAAAAAAAAAGTTTTTAAGCTAGTTGAAAAAAATGAAAGAACACACAGTGGGAGAAGATTGTGCACAAGGAATAAATTTAAATCAAACATAACATATGCATAATATCCCTGTTTACTTTTTCAGATTTATTTTTTTTGTCTATATTTTTTTAACTATAGTATATGTCTTAAGTTAGGAAAATTATTTCTTTTCTTTTTTTTTTTTTTTTGAGACGGAGTTTCGCTCTTTTACCCAGGCTGGAGTGCAATGGCGCGATCTCGGCTCACCGCAACCTCCGCCTCCTGGGTTCAGGCAATTCTCCTGCCACAGCCTCCTGAGTAGCTGGGATTACAGGCACGCACCACCATGCCCAGCTAATTTTTTGTATTTTTAGTAGAGACGGGGTTTCACCATGTTGACCAGGATGGTCTCGATCTCTTGACCTCGTGATCCACCCACCTCGGCCTCCCAAAGTGCTGGGATTACAGGCTTGAGCCACCGCGCCCGGCCAGGAAAATTATTTCTTCACTGCTATTTTTACATGAAATATAACTCTTCATAAAACATTTTGAATATGTTTTTAACATGTGAACTTATGCATATGTAGAAATGTATCTTCTAATTTCTTGGAAAATTACATTTAAGTAAATTTTCTCAATCAAAAACAGACATTGAGGAAAATGAGCTTTTGAACTGAGGTATATTCAAACTGTTAGAGATGTTTCTGTTAAAGAAAAATAATTCATTTGGAGTCTTTGAGCCTCCTCATATAGAATTTCTTTAATGATAATGTTGGAAAACTCACTGCATGTAACTCTTAATGTTGAGAATTGCATCTGCTTTTACTAATTATGTATCTGCAGCAGTAGAGAACAAATATCTGTTCAGATATTTGAACAAATATCAGAACAGATAGACTATGGAACAATGGATTTGAGAACAGAGTCAAAAGAGGGAGCATATGCCAAATGGGAAAATTATTGCAACGTATCAGTTAGTAAGGATATGTGAGAATTTACCCTGGAGACCTTAGCATATGGCAAAAACTCCAGATGAGGTAAAAATTGTGTATGAGTACTGCATTACCCTGCAGTAGACTAAATCCATCAGGGGCTTCTTGTTTAATTAAGTACTAGGTGGAACTTGTGTAGGGTAGTAATCTTCATCTGTTGAGAGATTTTTATTTTGGCTGAAGATTCAAAAAAGCCTTTCTCAGACGCTTTTTCCTAGCTAATGTAGCTAATGGTTTTCTGGTCTGTTTCTCTAGCCAAGCCCTCTTTTCTTGTTTCCAGTCTCATATATCCAACTATCTTTTGGACATCTCCATTTGCTATCTTATATCTTGACATACCCAAAATTGAACTTACTGTTTTTCCTAAAGATTCTTCTGTTCTGTCTCCCTGTTTCCTGGCTAAGGAGGCGAGGTGGTTTGGGAGTGTTATTGACCAAGAGAGCGAGTTAACACTGGAAGCTATTTTGTTATTTGTTGTATCCATAGCATAGGGGAGATTTTGTTCTCCTGTAGACATTTGATAATGTCTCCAGACATTTTTTTGGTTGTCACAATTTATAGTGATGCTATTGCCATATAAGGCATAGAGGCCATGGATACTGCTAAGCATTCTACGGCACACAAGACAGCCTCCCACAACAAGGAATTATTTGACTATAAATGTCAATAGCGCCGAAGTTGAGAAATTCACAGTGACTCTTGTGTTGTCCTATCGTGGGAAGGCTTTTTATCCCTCTCCTTGTTATAGCCTATTTGGGAAAAGCTTGTGTCCTTCCTCCTACTTATATTGGTCTCTCAGGATATTCTTTGGTGCCTCCTTTTCTGCAGACAGTAGGCACCATTACAGTGCTGGAATTTTTGTAAGACTGGGAGAAAAACTTAGTTGCCTGGGTTTCAGATGGGATTGTGATTTTCTTCCTTTCTATAATTCAAGGCTTTCTTGGGGGCACCCTTTTCTCATCAATTATCAGGATAATCAATTTCTGCATGTTGGTCATCTGGACTCCTTCTTTTACTGTCGTTTTGAGCTACAGGATCTCTAGTAAGCAGAAACATGATCAGAGTTTTAGTACCAATGGGCACAAGCCTAGCAGGACAACTCTTTGATTAACCTTTTTACAAGGCTGATATTCTTACTTTTACCCCTTTTCCTCCAATAACTTATCATGATATTAACAACCACTGCTTTATCAATATATTAAAAAAATTTTTTTAAAAGATACCTGTTGTACCTCTGCCACTGTTAGTAAACTCTTAGCTAATTCCCAGCTTCCTAGCTCCACTAAGTATTCAGTGTCTATCTCTAGGGAAAGATTTTTCTTCCATTTTTTTTATTTGAGCCCTTTTCAAGTCCTGGAGATGCCATGTACTTGGTCAAAATTATCCTTTCCTCTCCTTTTTCCTCCCTAAGTAAGTAGCAACTTGCCATGGTAGTTCATAAACAAAAGTAAGAACACATTTCTTGTTAATCATCTTTTAATCATTGAGTCAGATTTGTCTTCAAAAAGTTTCCTGCATCAGAAAGGAAATGTATAACACGTAAAATTTACTGAGTGGTTGCAGTTTCAGTAACAATCTTTTAATCAAGTACCTCTTACATGCCTCTTAGAAACGTCAGCCTGACTACATAGCAATAGATATCTTATTAAAAATTTTGCCAACTCCTGGTCTAAGTAGTTAAATTCTTATGGATAAAAGCATTTGGCTTTACTTCATCCTGAACCTTTAATGATTAGATACATACAAGTCTATCCAGAGTGTTAAATGGATCTGGATCCTCCAAAGGATCCTTAAAGGACCCCAGGAAACTCTCTTGATCTTTTTATTTCAGTGTTTCCCTGCTTTGTTCTAAAAAGGATTTAAAACAGTTTATATAATACATACATATTGTCACAAAACAGTAAAACAGAAATTAAAAGTGGAAGGAAAAGAAAAATGGGAAAAAAAAAAAACAGGATAGATATAAAATCAAGTGAGGGAAAGCATAGCAATGGGAATTTGGTACTTATCTATGGTTAGGCTGTGAGTTGGCTCTAAGCTCTGTTGTCATTGACAGTAGGTGACAGGGTTCATAAGATAAAATATACTTGTTCCTTAGAAGTATAGATTTTCTTGGATGCTGTTACAGTTTCCTAGACAATGTCTTGGTAGCTGTGATTTCTTGGGATTTTCTTTTACTAGTGTTCAGTGTGGCCTATTGTTATCATACCAAAGTACTATTTAGTAAAAGCAGTTCTTAAGTAGTCATTATAGTGTGGTTCAGGTACCCAAGCCTCTGTTGCTGTAACTTGACCAAGAGCTAGATTTTAGAATACCTGGAAACGGATGCTCTATGTGCCTTTTGAGCAGTTCTCTCTAAATATTATATGTCTCAACTCAGTTTTTATTTCAATTTAATTAATTAATTTATTTTGGGAGACAGAGTCTTGCTCTGTTGCCCAAGCTGGAGTTCAGTGGCATGATCATGGCTCACTACAGCCTTGACCTCATGGGCTCAAGCAATCCTCCCATCTCAGCCTCCTGAGTAGCTGGGATCACAGGCATGTGCCACCACACCCAGCTACTTTTTGTATTTTTTGTTGAGACAGTGTTTTGCCATGTTGCCTGGGCTGCCCTTGAACTCTTGGGCTTAAGTGATTCTTCCACCTCGGCCTCCCGAAGGGCTGGGATTATAGGCATGAGATACTGTGCCTGGCTTCAGCTTTGTTTTTAATAGTGGCACATAGCAATGAGTTCAAAGTTATACTACCTAAGAAGTATCAGAATGCAGATATTTTGTATTGCAAATTGGAATGAGAACATATTTTGAAGTAACAGCTGATCTTAAAAGTAGAAGCAAAAGAAAAATGAAAAGTGAAGGTTGATCTGTGGTAGGATAAGTACTCCAGGAACATTATGAGGATTCCTAGCTAAATATGGTAGGCTAAGCAAATATCCAATTTAAGCAAAAATTTCCCTTGAAATTTCGAGCAATGCCCCTAGTTTTGAGCAGTGCTCTTTTCTCACATGCCTTTCAAGATAAATCATCTGTGGTAAATACAGCAAGGTAACTACATATGATAATTTATTTTATGAGATTGTTAGATGCAGAAACAAAGCTTAGGATTATGAATAGTTGGTCTGTAATCTTTTCTGATAATAATGAACTATTCCAGCTGTC